CCTCATTTTCTTCCATGTCATCCTCTCGCTTATGTACATTATCCTGCAGAAGGTTAGTCATAGCAAGAGGAATAACAAGAATCCCAAAAAAACAACGACAACCCAAAAATAGAGAAAAAAGAGAGGGGCAAAAGTGGAACAATATCTAGAGGAGCACATAGAGAGCGCCATTTGAGCTGTGTTTGCATGTGCTGATCTCGGCCTTGTTTCTAATCATATTTCTGCTATTCACATCACTTGATACATCTGTACTTGGAACATGAATAGGCCAGCAACTAATACAAGTACTCAGAATACTTATTTAGCTTTGCTATTCAGTTGCAAATATTGCTATTCCTTGCTACTATATTATGTCTGTCCAAGCTCCACTTTCTTCTAACCAAGTACAGGTTCGCCTTGCAACTATTACACTCAAGCTACAACGGTATCACAGTCACCAATCAATTGCACAGCCTGTTGCTTTGGTAAGAATACTTGTAAGACCATGGTAAGACGCTTGAGAGTGTGTGACTTTACTCCTTGACCACATCCTATAGTAGCTGATAGGAAAATACATACTTTTGTGTTGTCTTTTGCTGTCTTCTAACAATGACAGGTTGTTTGTATCCACCGACTTATGATGGTATATGCATTGATGAGTACATGGAGTGGGAACTTACCATCGATAACATATTTTCTACTCGCTTTATGTGTCCAAGGAGGAAGGTAAAAAATGCAGCTAGTGTTTTGCGACATTCTGCTTTATCTTGGTGGGAGTCTTTAGATCCTTCTGATAAACCTTAAACTTGGAATGATATGAAACTTCTTATGCGAGAAACCTTTGTTAATCACATACAAGCCAAGGAGAGGAGGAGGTCCAGCATGGGCGTCCAATTCATCTTTCCCATGGTGGAGGCCCAGTCCAACTGAAGTTGGAGCCTATCTCGGGTTCTAGGACCAGTTTGTCATAAAACTGGTCACACGGGTGCGTCCCGGCTCAGTTTTCAATGATCCATATATGGATGGAAAGCTAATTAAATAAGGAAGCCAATGCAAGTGGTCTCACATCAAAAGCCCTTCAGAATCAACATGAATCATTGAAACAAGTCAGTATCCAGAATTTGCCAGGGTGCTGCGACACCGTCTTTTGGTCCGTTGGACCATGTATCGTGTTTGGGCCCATTAGGGGCGCGTCTAGGGGTGTGACCCCAAGAATCTATAATTAGTATCCATTGCTCTCCTTAGGGTTTGGGTTTTGTTTAGTTCTTGATTTTCTCGTGAAACAAACATCATTTTGCTGCAACTATGCCGCCAAGGCTGCTTGGTGTGAACCAGGGCCCCTATTCTTGATCTTGTTCGCCTGTGACGATTAGTCCTTTCTAATAAAGACTTGAACTACTTCTCATTATCATAAGCCTCATATTTATTTGCAATTTCAGATTGCGTTCATCTCGTTCTCGCTTGTGTTCTCGATTCGCTTGCAGGAAAGCCTTCTCGGCGAGGTCAATCATGTTCGCGTGGTTGATAACCAATGGAGCAGTGGTGTAATGGTTGCGAGGGTCCGAATTAGTCTTGGTTCGAAGCCTAAACTATGAATGTCGAGTCTCCACCAATCGACGCTATCATACGTTTCGAAAGATCGGGCCTTGTCTACATCAAGGCTCTGATACCACTTGATGTAGACAAGGCCTGATCTTCCAAAATGTATGATAGCGTCGATTGGTGGAGACTCGACATTCACAGTTTAGGCTTCGAACCAAGACTAATTCGGACCCTCGCAACCATTACACCACTGCTCCATTGGTTATCAACCACGCGAACATGATTGACCTCGCCGAGAAGGCTTTCCTGCAAGCGAATCGAGAACACAAGCAAGAATGAGATGAACGCAATCTGAAATTGCAAATAAATATGAGGCTTATGATAACGAGAAGTAGTTCAAATCTTTATTCGAAAGGACTAATCATCACAGGTGAACAAGATCAAGAACAGGGGCCTTGGTTCACACCAAGCAGCCTTAGCGGCACAGTTGTAGCAAAACGATATCTGTTTCACGAGGAAATCAGGAACAAAACAAAACCCCAACCCTAAGGAGGGCGACAGCTGCTAATTATAGAGTCTTAGGCGTCACCCCCCGTGGATGCGCCCTAATGGCCCTAAACACGATACATGGTCCAACGGACCAAAAGATGGTGTCGTAGCACCCTGGCAGATTCTGGTAGCTAACTTGTTTCGACAATTCCAGTTGATTCCGAAGGGCTTTAGACGTGAGACCACTTGAATTGGCTTCCTTATCTAATTAGCTTTCCATCCATATGTGGATCGTCAAAAACGGAGCCTAGACGCGTCCGTGTGACCAGTTTTATGATAGACTGGTCCTAGAACCCAAGATGGGCTCCAACTTCAGTTGGACTAGGCCTCCACCATGAGAAAGATGAATTGGACGTCTATGCTGGACCTCCTCCTCTCCTTGGCTTATATGTGATGGAGTGATGTCCTTATCAGAAAATATATTTAACAGTGGGATGAACATGTAGATTACTCAATTACGAATCTAACGCAACTTGAATGGATCAAAACGGATTTAAAACGAAGATTTTATGGCCTAAATAAAACTAGTGGCAAAACTGTAAATAGATGAAAGCGTATTTTGGTTCTAACCGAAGAAACTACATTTTCACGTATTTTGAATCTAACAGAGGGATTTTACGCTTTCTGAAAGAGAAAACATATTCTGAATCTACTAGAAAGAAACTACGTTTTCGGAATAGAAAAACATATTCTGGAAGTGCGCCATGGACTGCAGGTTATATTACGTGAAACTGCTGAAGCTCTTTTGCAAATAAACCCGGCGAAGGGATACGAGCGATCTTGGACCGTTGGATTGAATCTGGATGGTCAAATTAGAAAGGAGGGGGAGAGAGAGTAACCGGCCGTAGAAGAAAACTGGCGCGGCGAAGCTCCATTACCGGCGACGAGAAGCTCCACGGAGCACTTGGTTTGGGTCCTGGAGGCCATGGTTTAATGAGCCGAGAGCACAGGGAATAAGAGGAGAAGATTGCGAAATCACCTAGGGCCTTCTTGCGGTCGATGGCGGGTCTACGACGACGGGTCTACGACGTCGAGTAGCACAGCGGCGACGGCGACGGCGAGAGAAGGAGGAGAAAAATCTAATTTACTACACGAGGGATTTCCCAAACTAGGGGCTCCCCTTATGGTAGTTTTGGTGTGCTTTGCCTAAGGGGTTGGTATATATATTTATAGGGAGAAAAACTTCCCACATTTACATCAACTAGCAATATAATACTAATTGATGTTGCACCCTCCACATTTACTAATGGACCTAAATAATCATTAAAGCCCATTAATAAATAAATGCATGGGCCTTTGAGATTTATTAGAATTATTGCACATGGACTTTGAGAGTTGGTTAGAAAATGAGATATATTATTTATTTTCGGAATTAATTAATTTCATAAATAAAATAATTCTAAAAAAGTCCAGAATTGATATTTAAGCCACAAAAAATACTCCGAGATCTCCGAAAATTTGGGGAAAATTCCTAGAGACACTTTGGAACATGATGAACACAAATAAAGTATTTGGAGCTCATGAAAAGATTGTTGGGAACTTGGAACATAAAGATTAAGGTGAAGGAGGTAGGAATTAAATTCCAGAAAGAAACTGGAAAATTCCTAGAGATAGATATTCGTCTCCTAAACGTATTTAAAAAAACATATTTTGCACATAGAAACACAAGGTGCAACCAGCATGAATGCAACAAACACGTTTCTACCTTAAAATAAATTTTAATCTAATGAAAATTTATTATTTCCCCATGTTTTCATGAGCATAAAAATACAAAATTTAACCATTTTAGCTCTATTTCAAGACAAGCAAATTTTAGGGTGTTACAAGTACTAGAGGCGGCGGTAATGAATTTTTTCTTCCTTTGGATGACCTCATACTATTAGAATTAGTTTTTGAGTGGGATATTTATATGGTAAACAGTTTTTAATAAGTGGTATGATTCTCTACGTGGCAAGAATGAAGCCGGATTTATTTCCATTATCTTATAAAAATCACACAAGAAAACTTCATCGTAGAATTTTAGAATCGGTGTCAGTTTTGTTAAGAGTGAAGTGTTGTAATTAAGAGAGAGACACGAATGTTGGAAAAGTGGTCTTAGGGCCATAGACCGTTATGGACCAACACACTAACTGTTTTAGTGGCCGAGTCAAATGGGACCTCACGTAGCTCCGAAGCATGGTTGTGCCCCCTATCATGTAGTTATGATAAAAGACAATTGTAGCCCATCAGAAACAATGTTCTGTGAGGTCTTTAGCTGCTACAGTGATGGGAAGTCCACCGCCGACACCACTACTGGCGGTCAATCTCTGCTGCAGCATTAGTGTTCAAGAGGAGACACTGGTGGATCAAACGTGCTGCAACTGCAACATCTATCTTCACCAAACTCACCGCTTGACAGTAGACTACCCAACTTCTGATTACAGTTAATTTATACATCCACCTAATATTAGCCCCTTGTTTTCTAACATTGTGGTATCAAGAGCCTGTTATTCTGGTTCATGAATCACTGTTGTGTGGATTATTATTCCTCGAATTATGTTAATTTTTGTTAGATGTATAGATGTACTTTGTATTTTCCCTCTACTTAGAGAGGTTCTTTGCATATGTACACACATGTATACTTGCCCCTTTGGGCCTGGAATAGAGTTGGTTAGTCACTCTCCAACATGGTATCAAAGAGCTAGGGTTCCTTCCTCACCTCCTAAGATCGACCCTGCAGCCGTCCCATGTGGCCGGCTGCTCACGACCTCACGCGCCGGCCTCCGCACGGCCGCCGCCCGCACGCGCTGGACTCCGCCCGCTTCCCGCGCGCCGTCTGCCCACGCGCCTCCCTCCAGCCGCGGTGCGCTACTCCTCTCTGCCTTCTTGTCTATTAAAAAAAAGAGAAAAAAAAAAAAAAAAGGAAAAAACAGAGGCTTGTTGTCTCCTTCATGGCATCTCCAGGGTATCCTGGTGTTGTTCCTTTCCCCCGGTGCCCTGTCATTTTCAATGGCACAAATTGGGGAGATTTTGTTTTCCATATGGAGGTCCATATGGACGGACAGTTGCGGTGGGGCTACCTCATGGGGGAGTGGATCTGTCCTTCGCATCCCATTCTCCCCACGCCGCCCATGTACCTGCCAGATGATGTTGATGATGCCATGAGTGCTTTACTTGAGGCGTTTGAGCTTGAGACGGAGAGCTACCAGTCTGATCTCGGTGTTTATGAGACTTAGTTGCGTGAGGAAAAATCTGCTAAGGCCATTTTACTTGCAACCATGGAGGTCGATCTCGCCTGATCCCTCAGAGGTCTTGCCACTTCACATCTTATCTGGGACTACCTTCGTCCCAGTTATGAGATCTGTAACGAAGCGATGTACCTTGTTGTTGTTGAGGAGGCTCAGTCACTTCGTCAGCTTGATTCTACAGTTGAGGACTTCCACCGTTAGATGATAGACGTCTGGCATCGTCTTGATGGTTTGAGTGATGAGTTCTACGTTGGTGGCACATGTTGAAGCTATGACTGCCACAGGGACCAAAGAGACACACTTCGTCTTCACAAGTTCCTTTCTCGGCTTCATCCGGAGTTCAAGATTGTTCGGGCGCAGTTGCTGACTCGTCGTCTGTGCCCATCGCTCTCAGAGGTGATGCCTGGGCTACAAGCCGCAACCCTCCATCCTGGCAGCCACACCTCCCTTGGTCTCCTTGCCTCCGTCCCAGTCTCAGGTGGTGGTGGGGACCCGTTCTGGTGTCCAGTGTGGATATTGCAAGATTTATGGTCATGAGGAGAAGGACTATCACGAGAAGTAGGCTACAGACAGGGGCGTCGTGGTAGATGCTTCTCTTAGGGCTCCTCTTACGGCGCTGGTGGCTCTTCTACTCAGTAGGGCACTCGTTCAGTGTCTGTAGTGGAGCAGGAGGTTCTGGCATCAGCTCTGGTGCTTCTTTCGTCGCCTTACTAGTTTGGCTCAGGCATCAGCTCATGGGACTATTGCTCAGGCTTCTAGTTCTGCTCCTCCTCCTCTAGGTATATCATCCCCATGGTTTCTTGACTCTGGTGCTTCTTTCCATATGACACCCGACTCGGCCAATTTGTCCTCTATGTCTTCTCCCAATCCACCTATTTTTGTTCGAACTGTGGATGGCACTTCGCTTCCTGTTGCTGGGAGAGACATTCTTTCTACATCTTCCTTTGATGTTCCTACTATTTCCCATGTTCCTAGAATCACCATGAAACTATAATCTGCAAGTCAAATCACTGATCATGACTATCGCATAATTCTTGAATCTGATTCTTGTTGTGTTCAGGACCTTCGTACATGCCTTTTGGTGGGGACTAGGCCTAGGCATCCAGACTCACAACTCCTATTTGAGCTCATTGGTTGCATCTTTCGTCGTCCACTTTGGCTCACTTGGCTCCTAGTTCCCTAGCATCTGCGTCTGCTACTTTTCCTACCACTTCTTTTGCGTAGTGGCATCTTCATTTAGGTCACCTCTCTGGTTCTAGATTGTCCAGTCTAGTCGGTAGTGGTGTCTTAGGTCCTATTTCTGGTGACACTGCTATACATTGTACAGGTTTTAAACTTGGCAAACAGTTGCACCTCCCTTATCCTCCTTCTAGTGAGTCTAAGTCTCAGCGACCTTATGATCTTGTTCACTCTGATGTTTGGGGTCCTACCCCTTTTGTTTCAAAATTGGGACAATCTTATTATGTTCTATTTGTTGATGACTATTCGAGATTTACCTCGATTTATCTGATGTCTTCTTGAGGTCAATTTTTTCTATTTACTAGCAATTTGCCACTATGATCCCTACACAATTCGACTCTCCTATTCGAATTTTTCATGCTGATTCTACTGGTGAGTACATCTCTATTGCTCATCATTCCTATCTTGTTGAGCAAGGTACCCTTGTCTAGTTCTCGTGTCCTGGTGCTCATGCTCAAAATGGTGTTTCTGAGCGCAAGTATCGTCACATTCTTGAGACTGCTCATGCTCTCCTGATCTCCTCTAAGCTTGCTCCTTATTTTTGGGCTAAGGCTGTTTCTATGGTAGTTTTTCTCATCAATCGCCAACCATCTACTGCTCTTTAGGGCTGCACTCCCTATGAGCGTCTTTTTGGCACCCCACCTTCCTATAGCCATCTTCGTTGTTTTGGATGTGTTTGTTATGTCTTTCTTCCACCTCGTGAGCAAACCAAACTCACTTCTCAATCCGTTGAGTGTGTATAGTATGGAATATAAGGGTTATCACGGCTATGACCCTGTCGCTTGTCGGATGAGGATTTCTCGGGATGTCACCTTTGATGAGTCCTGGTCTTACTATCCTCATTCCTCCTCTAGTCCTTTTGTTACCGCCGAGTCCCTCTTTACCTGAGTGGTATCTTCCGCTGCCATCTTCACCCTCTTTACCACCTTGGGTATCCATTTCTCCGCCTTCACCACCTCCTCCTACCTCTCCACCACCAGTCTTTCCTTCCCCACCATAGTTGTGTCCTATGTGTGAGATCACTCACTACTACACGCGTTGTCTATGATCTACACTACCACTTGACTCTTCCCCGTTTGTCCTTGCACCTCCTCCTACGTCTTCTGCTCACTATACCCTTAGTGACCACAACACCCTTCATCCTCCTGATTGCATTGGCTTCACTGCTGCCGTTTTGGCTGAGCCTATGACCTATAGGGAGGCTGTTGCTCACCAGGAGTGGCAGCATGCTATGGCTAAGGAGGTTGCTACCTTGGAGCGTACTGGCACCTAGGATCTTGTTCCTTTGCGACCTCATGTCACTACTATCACTTACAAGTGGGTGTACAGGGTAAAGACCTGCTCAGATGGCTCCCTTGAGTGCTACAAGGCTCGTCTTGTGGCGCATGGCTACCAACAGGAGCAAGGTCATGACTATGAGGAGACCTTTGCTCCTATCGCTTACATGACTACTGTTCGGACTCTTCTTGTAGTTGCTTCTGTTCATTAGTGGTCGATATCTCAGTTGGATGTCAAGAATGCCTTCCTCAATGGCGAGCTCCATGAGGAAGTATATATGCAGCCACCTCTAGGGTACTCCATTCTAGATGGGATGTTTTGTCGGTTGCGTGTTCCATCTATTGTCTTAAGCAAGGTCCTCGTGCTTCGTTCGAGCGTTTCTAATCTATTGTCATCGATGCTGGCTTCAAGCCTAGTGACCACGTGAAAGCTCTAGTTTGGTTTTGGATAATTGAAGAAACCTAGGACTAACCTTTGATCTAAGAGTGTGAATTAGATAAGGTGGTCCAACCCAAGTGGTGAAGCTAGATGATGGCCATGGTGAAGGTGATGGCCACAAAAGAGATGATCAAGTGCTTCACATTTGGAAAAGAAGAAAGAGAAGACAAAAAATGGGCTCAAGGCAATGGTAAAATGATATGAGCCATTTTTGGTTTGCACTCAAGACACCAAGAGGGTGTGAGTGATTTAGGATCGATAGCCATACTATAAAGAGGGGAAATCTTCGGCTAAGCGGTTATTGAGTGCCACTAGGTGACATGATTCTTGCATATGCATTTAGGAACCTAGTGTGCTAACTTTGACCCTTGTAAAATGCTTTGAAAAATGCCAACGCAGGTGCACACAAGTTCTACATTTTGTTGTTAGTGACTTGAAAGCAAGGGTGAAGTGGTTGTGTACTTAGAAAAAGAAAAAGAGGCGCTGGATTATGACCGAATGCTGGTCAGGAAGTGACCAGACGTGCCCGATACTCAACCACCCTAGGTCTCGGTTAGTGTCGCTGCAGTGACCGACCGGACGCTGGTCAGGAAGTGACCAGACGCGTCCGGTACTCAACCACCCTAGGTCTCGGTTAGTGTCGCTGCACTGACCAAATGCTGTGATTGGATGTGGGGGCTGTGTCCGATCAGGCTGAGTAGAGTAGGAGTAGGGCGGCCTCACGACCGGACCCTAAATAGTGTTTGTGACTAGACGCAAATGTGTCGTGTCACGTTATCGCTGACGTACGCTAGTGTTATCGATGACATATGCTAGCATCATCCCCAGTTGTGAGTCTTTGACGTCTGGTCATTCTCAAGAGGCACGTCCGATCATTATTTAATTTGAGCTGACTGTTTAGTTACCGTTGAGATCGAGCGACTGTGCTTGAATGCAGGAGGCCATGTGGCGGTAGATGTGCGACCGGACGTTGGTGCGGTGCGTCCGATCAACCTGACCGGTGTTGGTATTTATTAACATGTCACTTGTTTAAGTAATCACCCTATGTTGTTTACATTCCGTAGTATCTTTTACTAGGTTGTCATTCCTAGTGTTTACCCAAGAGTATTCTAGGTATTGTTATTTATATTTTTACCATAAGGAAGGTCTAGCGACGACATGTATTGATAACTTACTCTATTGATGGAGAAGTCAAACATAACCAATATTCTACTCACAACTGGGGTAAGTCATAGGATAAATTATGTATATGATAAGTATGGATTAGTGATAAATCACTCAGAGTACTCCTTTCTATGGCATTAGCATGATGAAGTAAAATATTAGAGGAATAATTGCTAAGTCATTCTTAATTACAAGTCACAGCATACATTGATTAGTGCAATTACACCTAGTAGTCATGCCTAAGGTCATCTTTATATCTACACATAAGGGATATTACTAAGGAAGATTAAGAACAGAGGTTGTTTTTCCTTCGTAACCAGACCCTACTTGCACCTATATTCGAGGAGTGGACTACAAAGGACTCAATGGGAGTGTCACATCCACGATCTATCACATGACCCAGAATATAGGGTGTATCCGTAGGTAAACAGCGTTAAGCACCACGCTTACACAATGTCGACCACTCACCCATGGTACCTTAGAGTGAACGCTATACGAACTTATGTATGAACATGATGATAATCTAATTATACTAAGCATATAATCAAACTAGACTATGAACATTATAACGAAAAACATAAATAAGATGAATACTAATATTGTCATAACAATTGTATCTAGCATATAAAAATAATAGAGATACAAAAGAGAGGGGGTACAAAGATTATACCAAACCACGCTCTTGACAAAATCAGGAATCAAAGCGAAGTTTATTTGCCTCCCTCTAGATCTAGCCTAACCAACTATGCCCTAGAATATATAGTGGAGCTCTGGGGATGATTAGAGTTTGTGTCTTATCAAATGACTTATTAGGGTTTGATGATCTGATGCCTAGGAGGGTGGCAGGGACTGGTATATATAGGCCGGAG